GTATTAATTTTTTTATCTCATTTTATAATCTATAGAAAAATTTATTAATAAATTTAGTATTATTTTACTTGATATTAGGTATAAGTTAATACAATTGTAAAGCATGTATTGATACTAAACAATTTTCTTGATGCAAAGAACAAATTTTTTTGATTGCAATATATATTGCATCATATTTTTCATATGTAGATTCAAATTTTGTCAAAAAAGCGTCCAAATTATCTAGTATTATATTATATTTTTCAAAAAATATGAAAAATATAATAAAGTTGAAACTCAAAGAAGTATTTGAATAAACTTAATATGTAATCTTAGAGTTAGATAACTTTAAGATTGAAGCTCAATTATTAGTTGTATTTGATCAATAAATCTTTAAAACTTTAATCTTGTATCATCAAACTTCTTAAAGTAAGGCAATTTTTTGTTCTTTAATGCTTGGATAATATTTCACTACAAGAAAAATAATGTAATTTGATATAGATGATGAAGCAGCTCCAATTATCTTTACTTCTAATTAATCTTGTTGCTTGTTGTGGTTGTGAATTGCATTGATATATTACAAGTATTAACTTCCTCATTTTTTCTTATATTTATATTAGTGCATCTTTCATTTTCACAAGTTTTACTATAATAACATAATAAAAAAAAGTTTTTTAATATCACTTGAGACAAGTAAAAGCAAGGATTCAAGAACAAAGAAAATTCTAAGAACAATATTAGATTAGAAGTAAATAATCTAAAACTTCTAATATGATTATTCTTTATTTTTAAAATAAATAAATAAATAAATCTATTCCTAATATAAGAAAGATAAAGCTTTGATATTATAAGAATATTTTTGCCAATCTATGAAAGACAAAACTTGAAGAATATAATTAAACATATAAGATGTATCTTAAAGGAAAACAACATAAAGAGAATGAAAAGTGTGTATATTTGAGAAGAAATTAGAGTGGTTTTTAATGATTTTTTTATATTTAAGAAAAAATTAGAAAATTAAATTTTAATTTTAATTTTTCTTTATAATTTTTTAAAAAATTATATATTTTCTTATTATAAGAGAGATTTGAAAAGATTAATATTCTATTCTAATATTTAAAGATTTTTTTTAATTAAACTAATTTTTTTAGTGTATTAAAATCCATATTGATTCTACTTATATTAATCCTATCTCTATCATGCTTCATTACATTCAAATGTCTATAGAAATTACTTTTTACTTTTATTAGATATGATATTATGCCAAATTTGTAGTATTAAGGAATTTATAGCCCTTAATAGTATTCATTTGAATAGAAAAAGAGAGAGGGAATTAAAAATTTTTATTTATATTTTTTTCTTTGAATATTTTTTTAGTTCATTATTTTTATATTTATTAATTAGAAGTAATCATGTTAGATTCTAATAATCTGATTGTTGTGACGTATCTTGGCTTTGGCTCTAAAATAATGTCAATAAGGTTTCTTTTGGTTTTTTTAATTTATATAAAGAAGATAAGAATTTTAATTTGATGTTCTTATATTAAGCAACTCATACATCATTTGAATCTAGTCAATGCTTAATATTATAAGTTTTTATTAGAAATTACAATATAAATTATATAAAATAGTAATATTAGGCTAAGGTGCTTGTTGTCACTGAGAATAGATATTTTATTACTTTCTTTTTAAAATATCTTTTCTATTATATTCTTTGATGTATTTTTTGTCGTGAATGTATTTTTATTATATATAGATTCAAAAATATTTTTATTGTGCTTGATTGATTATTTACTTCATTGTGCATTATACACTTTGATTTGAAGGTAATTAGAGATAAGATGTTGTCTAATAGAATAAAATTTTGTAGTTAGAAATATTTACTATATTCAAAGATTATGCTTGTCTATAATCTTTTTTTATCACTGTATAAAATTAATACCTTTACAAAATTAATCTTTTTAATTATATATTTATTATTTTAAATTATATTTAATTAGATATCTAATATATATATATATATATATGTATTTTTTATAATAAAAATTTATAAAAAAATAAAAAATAAACACCTAAATATATCTATAAAATTAGTGTTTAATTAAAAATAGTCCTTTTTAATATTATTACGTAATATTATTGTTATTATTATTTTGAATTTTTATTAAATAAAAAAGATATTATTTTAATTTTTTGAAGTGGCTCTTTTATACAAAAAATAATAATATTATATTTTAAAATAAATTCTATCTTCATCTAAGTGATTTTATTATTTATTATAATTTCTTTTATATAAGTCATAATAAAATATTATATAAATATATTCACTTTCAAAATTAAATCAATCAACAAAGCAATAAATTTTGGAAAGCCATATTTAGAAGATTCTTGATCTTTTTGCCAAAGCACAAATCGTATAAAATACAAAACCAAGCTAACTATCATCTCTCTAAATTTTAACTTAAGGACTATAGCAACAAGAGAGAAATTGTATTTCTAATAAATTCAAGTTTGTTGATTCACTTTTGTAATCTATATCTACTTGCAGATCAATAATTTGTCTATCCTCTCTTAGAAGCTCAAACAACTTGGATACATTTGGGCATATTACAAAAAAAAAAAAAATGATACTACCTAAGAGTGATAGAATTAAAAGAAGTTTGTACATGCTTCTATAATTAAAGCATTCATTTAGTTGGTATTGGGTACTCATTTAATTTTTGTTTCACAAGTACTCACATATGCTCAATTGGATTTAGATCAAGTAATTGAAGAGGCAAAATAAGTACATCAAAAAAATTCATTGAAAACCATTGCTTGATTGATTTTGCAATATGTTTAAGATCATTTTTATAGTGAAATATGACACAAAAAGGCTTGAAATGGTATCATTTAATTATTTTCACAAGCTCATCTTGAAGAATGCTAAAATCCAAATCTTATTTTAACTTCTCTATCTTCCACATGTAATCTATGCCATGGGAAGTCATACAATTCTACACAAAAATTGCACTACGTCCATGTTTAACTATTTGACTTACATGATGAGCTTATAATTGAGATTTTACATCCCTTATTAAGTGCAACCATCAAGCTAAAATTGATTGATTTTAGTCTCATCACTAAAAATCACCATATAGCAATCATGGGCAATTCAATCTTCATGAAGTAGAGCATATTCCAACTTGCAATGCATATTTTTGGCCATGAGCACCGACTTCTTTTGCTTCTTTAATGACCCAAGACTTGATTCATGAAGTGTACATCTCACTAATTTGGTACTCACCACCACATTCAAGTGCTCACTCAAAGCATTCTTCATGTTTATAGTATTATCTAGTCCATCAATTGTAAAGTTTCTTTCACATGCTTGCTTTGAGCATGGATAATGCTTCTTAGGTGCTTCTTCTTAAAGACTCGGCATGAGGAATATATTCTCTATAAATCCTAAAGCATGTAGATTGAGAGATATCTAACAATTTTGACACTTCATGTATACTTCATCTATGCTGCAATAAAGCTATAGCATTCAACCTCTTTTTTTCTAATAATGTTGTCATGGGAAAAAAAAATCTTGACAACTATAAATAAAAATATTCCAAGAAATGATACTATTAACTCAAAGTGAGAAGAAGAATCCTAGATAGTGACGTAAATTCATTCTTGCAATTAAAGATGATTAATGATAACAACTCCAAAAATTAAATCAATAGACTTGAGTTCATTTAAAATGCAATTTCTCTCTTGTTGCTATAATCTTTAAGCTAAAATTTGGAAGAATGATAGCTAGCTTGATTTTATATTTTATCCAGTTTGGCAAAAAGATCAATACTTTTTAAGATATGGCTCTGCAAATTTTGTTGTTTTGTTGATTGATTTAGTTTTGAGAGTTAGTGTATATATATAGTTCTTGCAAAACCTAATAGTATAAACTATATGTATATTATTTCAATTGGGTAAGGTTGATTAATGTTGTATTGGATGTTTTATATAATTTCCATAGAAAATTCTTATTATAATATCTTATATTTTGTTAGAAGTATATAACTTGTGTATTTATCAATATTTTTAGATCAATTGATTGGATGACTAATATTAATTGTACTATATTTGCATATAAACCTATTATATTTGTTATAAGTATAGTTGATCTAAGATATTTAAATTAATTTTTTTAAGTAACCTTTGTGTTTTATATCCACCTAACTCAAAGATTATTATTGTTTATCTAAAATATTTTTTAATACGATCTAAATTTAGAATATTGATATCTAAAAACTTTAGAAATAACAATGAATTCTATACATGGAATTAAAGCCTGGTATTCATAATTAAAACATATAAGGATATTATTTGATTTGATAGAAAAGAATAGGAGATATTTGCTTGTTTCTTTTAAATACTTTTTAATAAAGAAAGAAAGAAAAATAACAAGCAAGATGTTCTATTTTCTTTTGTAAAGGATTAAATAATTTAATTCACAGGATTCACAGGAAAACCGCACATGGAGTGAACACACCACTCCAACTTGGAATCTTATAATCAGTAGTATGCTTCCAAGGTCTATCAAGTACTCCCTACTTGTCAATCTGGCCATTTGAGAGAAGGTCGAAAATGTAACGAAGCTGCACCAGAATTTGTGTGCAACTAATACATGCTTATTTAAATAACTCCTAGGTCGTTTATATAAGCAAGGACTCGAACTTCATGACAATGATCCATGCGCTCCTACACAGTGATGAAAAGAACCCTGTTGCTGAGAAGAAATGAAGACTGCAAGACTCAAATTGTTTGTCAAATAATTGATCTTCTATGAGGAACAGCTTGCATGCATCCAGAGTAAAACTTCTAGAGAAGGTGATGGTTCAATATAAGGTAAGTATCCCTGTAGACTCTACTGGAAAAACTCAATAAAACCAAAAGCAGTTTTCAGTTTTCGTTGAGTTTGATCCAAGCAACAATGTGAAATATCTTTGATACAAATTAGCAAGCGTGGTGAGATCGGTGTCAGTGAGTCTTAAATGTAACGCAATGCCGGGATATTCTTCATACTCCAAGAACCCAATGAGTACAGGCGCAATCTAAAAATAGACAGTTCTTCTGTGCTCGCAATAGAGAACTCACTATTGCGTACCAAACTTCGAACCAAGTACGGGTAGTTTAAATGCATGGTGTCTAACCTCTAAAACGAGAACCGGAAAGTAAATGTTTAACCAAGGCTAAACAAGGAGACAAATCTGTCATACTCCTGATGATTGAGATACAATTTTCACTCCAAAGCTTGCCACTAACCCCGAAAGCTGCCTTGTATCAACAGAAGCAATGGACGTACGACCTATGAGTAGGCGTCAAAGCCCACAAGCTCATCTATCGCCATGTTGGAGAGTGAAGGATCGTTGGTCTCAATGAGATCCAGCAGATGTTCGAAAAAGACCGTCTCGCATGCAATCTCCAACCCTCCCTTGTGTTCGTACCCATACTCCTCTGCCGACTTGTTGAGCAGTGCCTTGAAGACTGGGTGACTCAAATACTTCGCCTTTATCACGAACCGACGGCGCTCTTCGCCCACATACACAACAAGAAACCCCTCAGGCACGTCATCTGGGGCAAAATCGTCGCTGTCGTCGTCAGAGTCGCTGAGATCACCGGCTGCTAATCGGCCGGACCTTCCAAAGGCGCAGCCATTCCTAACAGAGCCGCCAGTCGAATTCCTACCTGAGCTTCCCGATTTCGAAGGAGATTTCGCGTCATTCGGGTGGATGCTCTGATATTGCAGATTTGAACTTGAGATGCTCTTTTGGATCTTCTGGAAAGCCTTCTGCACCTTGTTCGGCATGGTGATGGTGCTGTGGGCGACCTTGAGCTGAGCGACTTGAGAGTGAGTATAAAGGGCCACTTCAATTGTTCGGACACACCCAAAGTACATATAGATCTGTTATGAGACGAGTAGAGGAACACGAGGGAAGGAGATGGCAAAGGTTATTCCTCGCATAGCTCAAGAAGCCAATGTTCGTGAAATCCGATGTTGCGGATAAATATATGCTGTTGATGCTGATGTTGATTCATGGAGGAATACAGTGGAATGCGTCTAATATTGCGTCCAGTTATGTCACCATCAAGGAACCTAAAAGAAAAGTATAGAAAATATGAGAACTCCTACTCAGCACAGATTCTTCCACAAGATCTACATTCATAACATATCACCAGAACTTCCCACGTTACATAACACATCATGATAATCCCTGATGTCAGAGAAGATACGGGAATGTGGAGGTAAAAGTACAACACGACGCAACGAAACAATGCGTGCATACCAATTGCATGCAAAAATTGCAGATTTCATAAACGATTGAAATCTTCTAACAAAAGCTGTCGACAGCGAAAGTTTTTCTGAGATGGTAAAATAATTTGCCGTCCTCATGACATATAATACCATGCACTTGTGTAGGTAAGAAGCACTCTCACTTCAAGAATTCAACATGGACTAATCGTTGCAAAAGAGGAAAATCAACTCACGAATCCAATAAAAACTGCAACGCTCAGATACCATTCACCCTGAATAGAATTCGAAAGGGCCTAAACTTTAATCGCAACTGTATTCTCGCTGACCTTCTACTTAAGAAGGATTCGCAGATGGTATAAATGTGTCATTACAGGGACACTTTCTAATTAAAGATGATCCTACTGACATTCTTTTCACAACTTGAGACTCCAGATGCAATAGCGTAAAACCTTTCAATAGGAGGACGAGTCAGGAAATGACCAATACTCTGCATCAGCAAGATTCCGTGATACTATGAAAGAAAGACTGCTCTAATCGCTCTCTCCACACATCAACCACCATGTAACTCTGAGTTGGGCCCACACACACACAACTGGGCTTCAACGGAACAAGATCCAAGTCTCACAACAACAAGCCCCTGGATCAATCAGAGCAGGAAATCGCACCTGAAGGCTTTGAAAGTATCGTCCACCAGGAGGACACAAACGCTGCAACTCCGCTCCAGGCCAAGTGGCTCCCCCGCTACCAAAACACCCTCCAATGCTCCTGAATTTGAATCAGCAAGATCCTCAGGAACTCCGCCTAAGACAATCAACAAGCAATCTGGGATCGGGATCAATGAATCCCAGAAACTAAGCCTTCAACCCAGACACGCCCCACATCACAGCTCCCTTGAAATCACACGAACACCCTCTGACGAGATCTCTAAGCAATATGGCAGCGCAGCCATAAATCCTCCGCGACTCAACAATCCGCCTCCCGGGAAAGGAAGGAGAAGAAAGAAAAAGACTGTAAAGCATGTCAGGCTCGCTTCATGCACTCAACTCTCACCTCTCCTTCTCCCGTGCTCCTCGAACACAAAGACGATCCCCGCAAAACGTTCACGAGACACACGCGCCTCCTGGACACAAGCACTGCACACGAACTTATCCTATCCTCCCCCTCCCCAACGACGGCTTCCCAACGGACGCAGACCCAGCAACCAGACACACTCCAAGTCGATTTTTGCAGCGAGCGTGAGATTGTAGACAGCGAACGACGAGATGGGGAGAGGGCGGATGCGAAGGTGCGAAGGCTAGGCTGGCGTACGATGCGATGCAGCGGGCATCTGTGACTGGAGCTCCGGAGCTGAAGAAGGCGATGCGGGGCGGACGCTTGCGACCGACCGACCCCGCTTCTCCCGACCGGATAAGTTTAGGAAGGTACCTACTCACATAATCTTCGTAGTAATTTCCGACATGCTCAGTTTAGATTCGAGTTAGTGCGGAATTCAACAATGCTTGCTTTGGGTGGGCACAGCTTTGGGTTGCGAGGAGGTTTTCCTCTAAATTTTTCACCACAACTAAATTTGGATTTCTACAAAATTGATTTGTGATTAAAATCAAGACTTTATTGTTTATATCTATATAAGTAAACATAAAGTGTGCATCACAATTAGTATCAAATCCTACACATTGTAATAAATAAGACATGCCCTTATGTGTGGAGAGTCTTTTTCAAGCATACTCTGCATATGAAACATAGATAGACTTATTAAACAATAGTTGTATTTCTTGCTCATTGCCCTTGAGTGGATAGTAATGGATGGGGGGAGCTTTGGTCTATACTCAACTCCATGGATAATGATGTATTGAAAAAAACATCCTTTGCAAGTATAACTTAGATGTATTTTTTGCAAAATCTCAACTTTTTGGAATTTCATGTTATTTCTACTCCTATTGGTCTAAGTTGGAATTTGATTGGTAAATAAGATCTAAGTCATTCAAGATTTTTTTTTTTTTTTTTATTTTATTTTTTATGAATGTGTCTATCATTTAATGTAGTTTGTACGAAAACAAATATACTACTTAAAACAGAAAGACCAAGCTATATTATAGATTGAATCAAATTTTAAACTTTCAAAATTTTAAAATAATTTGGATGAACATTTGTTAAAGAAATATGCTGATATTTTACCAAATTCATGTAAATGCTTAAAATTATGCCACTAAGAACAAGGACATTTCAGACATTTTGTTATATACGTGTTTCTGTGAAATCTTTATCAATCATCTTTATTGTTGTCTAGTTAATACACTTAACAGTATTGCCCCATTTATTACTCGACATGAAAAAAGGACTTCTGAAATGCGACTCAAGACCTCCAACACCCCAGTGCAGCTTTCAGAAGGAAATCTTAATCCTACCACTCAAAATTTTTACCATATTGAACTCAACAAGATCCCAATCCCTAAGCAGTGGAAATCGACAAGTGTGGACACTTACTATCAATAAGAACATGGTTCTGATAGTTTGTGTAAAAGACTTGAATGCTCACTGGTACACATACGACCAGAAACCCACTTGCCATTAAAGTCATCACAGCCCTAAAAGGCGAGCAAATAAATAAAAAGTCACGGTACGAGTTTCTGTTACGAAAACAGGATGGTCTTCACTCGTTACAAACGAAATGTGCCGGAAACCAGGGAAAGGGTATATCTGGTGTCATCCGGTGTCTTATTTAAGAGCTGGATAAGTCACAGCTTTCGGCACATAAAATATGGGACATTCAACAGTACACGTTTTTGGAATTTTGTCTATGAAAAATCCATTATTTTTCAATATAAACACAAAAAAAGTTTCATGTGATAAATCCAACAGAACGAGCAAGCGTCGTAGAAAAATAAATTTGTCTGTTCCTGTAGAATGAAAAAAAAAATTCTATACGGTGCACTAGCGAATTTCGAGGGTTTCATTATTTGTAAACATTAGTAAAATAAGGGTTTTCATGTTTCCCACGCTTATAACAAAAAACGTCCTCAGCGACACTGACCATGTTGCGAGGCGGTGTGGGCTATGACGGATGCAACGAGCCCACCCCGGAGAATCGGAGATACTTGTCAGAGCCTTTCGCTGAGCCGCGCAGCAGTTCGAAATGCAGGGAGCGCCGGACGTTGCGAACAGACAGAGTGGCCCGAAATGAATGGCTCCCACGCTCGAGAGCCCCCATCTCGGAAAACAAGCCTGCGTAGTAAACTGCAACGGCGCGGTTTTGACCAGACCCATGTGTGACGCAGCTTCTCGACACCCCAACAGATTTCGTAGAGAAAAGAGAGGAGAAAATACGCCTGGGCTTTGTGGCTCTGGTGGATTCGATTCAGGAATCACTGTCCAGTTGGCTTCGTTTGGCAGTCCAGGAACTCAACCCTTGCCCAAATGGCCTCTGGGATCCAGTTGTCCCTGACCCTTCTTCCAGGGGCGTTCTAACTTGCCCCCGCGAATTTCACCTTCACAAAGACGACTTGTTACTCTGGAGGCCCCGTTCGTCATCATGCCGACCGACTTCGCGGAAATTGGCGACTCGGTGTGAAATGTCCAATCTCGACAGAATCATTCTATGATGCAAATCGGTCATAGACTGGATGTAGACTTAACATTCCGTCATGTAACAAGGAAAATCCGATCGAGAGTGACCTGGGAGATGGCATATGCTCTGAAAAAGACGATGTCTGCCTTTCTAACCAACACACTCCGTACGTTTGGCCGTGGGGGGCGGTTGGTAGATGGGTTGCAAAAGTAAACGCAATACACTATATATTTAAAGTCTTAAGAGTTGTTTCTGTGCACAGTGGATACGATCTATGTTGGGGTTTAGAAGAGTCAACGTAGATAAAAACAGCTGGGGTTGGTCACGAATTGGTAGAAATTTATCAGCTGCTGAGCTTTATTTTCCATCATCTGATAATAGTTGTGATGAGATGGTCAAACTGTATAGAAACGTGCAATTATTCCACTTGCGGATTGCTTACAGGAGTTACGTTCATGTTCAAATTTCTCGCGGAGACTGATCAGGTTGTGAAAACCTAATCTCTACTTTGTGATTTCTCGTAGACTGTGGGTTTCAGATGAAGACTCAACTCAGATACGAGCCCAGAAATAACATCAGAAATTCATACTCATGCTTAAAGTAGCAGTAACTTGCAAAGGGATTCAGACTTACCGAATTAGTCTTTTCTCAAACCTTCACGTGAATATGAGATTCTCCTCAATTTTAGAAGGGACGAAGTTGGGAGACCAGTGATGACACAAGATAATTCCTGTACTGAAAAGTTAAATAAGAGTACGCTTTCAAAGAGAATGTTGCAAATCTTTTACAAGAATTATATGTTGAAATCTAGCTAAATACAAATCCCCGCTTCTTGATTGAACTTCTAATGAGATGGAAATGTGAAGCTATTCAAGTGGCAAAGTGAACGAATCAAGCCTTTTCCATTACGAGAATGCAACAACCACACTAATAGCCAATGTCAATGCTGACAGCTTCCATGGTTTTGAGGCAAGTTTTGGCCCAGCGTTCTCCTGTAAAGCACACGCCAGAAAAATATCTCAGGAAAACCGTGGCCGCATTCCAACAACAGGCAACAAGAATTGCGCACACTGTTAAATTGATGACAGAAATGATGACGAACAGTAGAAAAGCAAATGTAAACAGATACGTACGGATACAGCAGGAGATGCAACAGGTTCGCTGGATATCGGAACGTCATCACCAGGTGACATCGCAAACGGGGCTGGTGGGGAAGTGATGGGCTCATAAGAGACAGGGGCAGGCCCTGGTGCATAAGGGGCAGGCTCGGGTGCGTAAGGCGCTGGAGAGATTGAGGGAGAAGGCACTGCAAAAGAAACACGAGTAACCATGTTTCCAGATGGACAGTCAGCAGTCACGTTCAGCGATCAAAGAATAGCCATCCAATTCCACATAGATATTCTTTTCCGACAAGTTTCATCACCAACGAAATTGACGAGCTTCAGTTTGAACACTTCGAATATACCTGGTGTGAGGGATGGAGCGTAAGGAGCCCAAGATGGCGTGTAAATAGGGACTGGAGTAGGAGCAGGGGTATAGGAAGGAGCCACCCATGGAGAATATGCCGGGGCCAGTGGAGCGATGAGAGGGGAATAAGCTGGGGCAGTTGTAGGTTCGTAGGAAGGCGAGCCAATATCCGGCACGGGGCCGGAAGTCCAAGGACTAGGAGCGTAGTATGGGGGTGAAGATGGTCCAGACGGTGCTGTGTAAGGTGCAAACACTGGTGTAGGTGCTGCAGGAATGTAAGGAGAAGACGCTGCTGGTGGGGTGTATGGAGCATGTGCGGGGGGGATTTCATTAGGTGGAGAGTGAGGGGCGTACATTGGAGGAAAGTGGGGCATGTATGACGGTGCATATGCTGGAGCAGGAAGTGGACTGCACACATCGAGTACAAGTGATCATAAATCAGTGCCCTTAAGAACAGAAGTAAAGGACCGAAGCTAGGAAGTGTGCGAGAAACAACTCACCCAGGCCATCTTGCGTGAGCAGCATCGAAGAGTAATGTGATCCACAAGACAACATTGAGAAGGCATGAACGGCCCATTAGAGTAGCCATGTTCTCTCTGCAAGCACCAACGAAGTCCATATTAGAGTCCTCTCAGTACAAAATTCATAAAATACAGTTGTCTCCGCTCCAGTTGCTGCTGTAGCTACACCGCAGCTCACGAATTAGAAGCAGCCAAAGTACTATTTCACAGTCCAAACAAACAGGTTTGCTTCGTAACCCATTCATCCTCACTTTCCACCGTCGAAATTAAAAACACTAGCTTACATTCCAAAGAACGGAGAATCGAACTTGTGATCTTAAAAACCACCATAACTCGAATGTAGCAAACATAGAAAGGATGTAGTCAGACCTGGGACATGTACATTATCAAGGTGGACTGTGAACTGAAATGTATGCTACGTGACGTACCAGAAGTTGTTATTCCTTAGCGTGACTGCGTGAAAAAATGTCGCAAACCGCTCAGATAATAATTCCGACACAATGCCCCTGTTCCAAATGAGACGCAGAATCAGTTATAAGCGATCGAACGATGAGGAATCCTACTCAGCACTCAGTTGAGACTTGGGTGTTGCGACAGATGACATTATATGAGACTCTTGTCGAACACCTAAGTGAGCAATCACGGCAAGCTTGAGGGAACAGCAGGAAGTATTTCAATATTCAGTTGACTACTACGTCTCACACAAGTGACGACCACTGAGGGCGGCATACACAGAAGGTACTGACTCAGTGACAACAATACGACGCTTACGAGCGCCAAGAGGCGGCCAACTTGCCTACAGTCCGCACTCAGGTTGGCTTCCGGAATGCATCAGACTTGGCCAGCGCTAGTGATAGCATTTATAACTAATCACTACGGCATAGTGTCAAGTAATGTTATACTTGAAGCAATTTCTGAACAAAGCTCTATTACACTAGCCCAGGTACAAGCGTAGAATTGAAAAGCAGCATACATACCTTGATGAGCATAGATAGTGTTGAGAGCTTCAGCTGCAGAAAGTGGCCGATAATCCGGACAAATTCAGCACAATATCAGCTTGACTAGGCAACAACCATCCTGTAGAAAGATGAGAGATTGCCCAATCCAGCACAGCGACAAGCTGTAGAAGAGAGCGATGAGCGCAGGACAGCGGTCTCATTCAGCTCCGAAGAGTTCATGAGCTGATCGACGGGCTGGTGGTCTAAGCGTGCGAGTTAAGGATTTTTACAGGATCGAGAGAGCGCCTGCTAGAAACGAGCACTGGCCAGTGCAGAGCAGGGAGCAGCGGACCTATCAGCAATGAGGTGAGGAAGACGGTCGACAATGGTGCCTGGCAGACGCCAGTTGTGGCGGCTTCATTGCTGCCCGTCCGCTAACTTTAGTTCTTCATCTGACTGATTGTAACCTATCTGTGACAATCAACTCTCGTTGTACGAATTAAATAATGAGTACGCACAAATCGTTTGATTCCCATTCCCTTTGAGGGTTTACATTCGCTGATTAATTCTTGCATACATGAAATAGTACTACATGGTACGTTAATGCAATGTCAACATATTTACCATAACTCTGTAGAACCTGAAGGCTAACTCATCGCGCAGATGACAGCTTTTTCACAGATGTTCTTCCCGTAAGCTTAGCAACACCAACTTGGATTTTAAAGGTAATAAGTCATCTTCAATCTGAACTCTGCAAAATGGGATCTCTAACGCATAAGGACATAGGCACAAATTTTGATGCTTAGTTAGGTTACTAGGTTAGCTTCGCAGACGATCCAGACTTCAGATGGATGGATACATCGAATCAGGGTTTGGCAGGGGATGAGGCTGGTAAAGTCAGGTCAGCTATCAGGCTTTCGTGCAGAGCAATTGATATACCAGCCATAAGCGTCTCAGAACACACACAACCGTCTACTCTTATTGTCTCTTTGGAAGATCCCAAACTGTGTAATAATGAACTTTCAACTGACGTAATGGATGTTAATGGGGAAATAGTAGCGTTGTCCTGCTGTCTAGGAAATGTGGAGCAGTCCTTCTCCAAATCTGATTACTTTAATGGCAGATTTAAGTCGGACAGCTAGACATGATACTCAACCCCGTTTCACACTGAACTGGCTCTTTGGGATCAGCCAGAATTTTTACCAGACCATCGATGTTTCAAAGGCGATTTTGAAACTGACAAGCTAAATAACTTAGAGCTTCACCTGCATTCTAAAACTATCTCCAAAGCATGGAAAACTTGCGTGACCCACGGACAGATGGAGCAAGCGAGTGACAATTGAGTACCTTTGCTTCTGTTGCATCTCAATCCTTACTGCATATTTTGAGTATTATTGACTCTGTAACTGGATCTTCAACAGTGATACAAGTGGAGATGCCACCATTTAACAAAAGAGAATTAACTAAGAAATCATGTCACGCAACCACAAATCTCAAACAACAGGATTATCTACCCAGGTTTGCCACGCATACGCTACAAATCTGGAGATGGGTCGAGCGGAGATTCAAGAAAAAAAAGTATGGCAGCCAACATTCATCACATAAATGTACCTTGCATGAGCGAAATAGTCTGTAATGTATTATCATGGGCTATGGCTTATTACAACATTGCTGGAAAATCGATGTACTAATGCTCCAGGTCTACATCTGCCAGTGTTTCCTTGTCCCATCAGTATGGCAATACTCTAAAATAATTGACTGCAAAGTGTGAGCACCAGAGAATTTTTCGAGCCTATCTTCGCAATATCACCTCTGGCGGATTTTGTAGTGAGTACTCTTGAATCTGCAGCCGTCCTCCAGCTGAACCTGAGAGAATAGACAGCTCGCAGTCAGTACTAACACTGACTGACCTCCACTCAGTGCTCACAACAGTCATGCTCCATCACGTTGACGGTTGCTGGGTTATATTACCAGTTCATTCTCAACTTGGTAGACTTCAAAAACTCCAACGAAAGTTCGGTGTGAAGACGGAGGTGAAAAGGCGCCTAAACCGAAGTCAGGGTTCTGAAGTGCTGGAAGGTGCTCGCCAAATCCACTCTCATCCCTGCTTCCTCTGAACGAATGGAACTGTTTGAGCTCATAGCTGTTTGAGATCGTAGCTCTCCTTTGTCTATTTAAAGTTAAGGAGGTTCCCGATCTGAATAGCTCCAGCGCATGCTGAAGAGGCCAGTTTTGCAGTCCTCTGCGTGATTAATGAGTCCAAGGAAGGCTCCCAATGTAATATTCAGAAGCACAATAACCGAACAAGCCTCGCATTTCAGGACAACCAACAGGATAAGGCGGTGTGCGGAGAAACGGATCCCGATAGATTCTCTTCTTTCGCAACTCTCCTCTGCAGCCATACGGATCCTCTTGGAACATGTTTAAAACTTTACTCTCTTCATTAATCGCTGCATCCTTGGAAGTAGGGGATGACTGAATGCCTACAAATGAGAACTGAGATTCTGGGAACCGTAGAGCAGGGCGATGGAGATCCATAATCCGCCGCTGTTTGAGATCGCAGCTCACGACGGTGATATTCGTGGGGTAGTGCCCCGTTAGCTCCCGAAAACGACATACGCTAAACAGAAGATTCTCAAAACTGTCTCGAGCGAACTCCTCAGTAAGAGCCCGCCATCGCATGCTCTCCCTCCTCCCAAACCAGTCTTTCGATTCTGCCAAGTTCCAATAACTTTGCGCTTCGCTGCGAGGTCCTGCATCCTTTGTTGTCTCACCTCCGCTGAATAAAAGCAAAGCGTCTTCAATTCCAGCGGCTGTTTCTACACCCGCCTTGATGTGGTTCACGAAAATGTCTGCCTGACCAGGATGAATCTGGCAGGGCTTCAGTAACCAAGAATTTTCTTCCTCTGAGTTGTCGCACTTTGATCTCGTGTAGACTGAGTGTCCGTCTACGATCACAAGATTCTGCAAACTCGTGTAAGGGGAATTGTGCTCTGAGAACAAACGGCTGCTAGTTCTGACGTTCGCAAACTGAGTCCCGAAAGCTTCATTGTACATGAAAACTAGAGCGAAAAGAATAGCACTCACAGCCAAAGAGAGGCAGACCACACACGGTACCGGGAGCTTTTGGTAGCGCCTGCTTACGAGCGACATCTTCTGAACAAGCGTGAGCGACCTCTTCCTTCGTAACCTGCGCGGGTACAACCCTACTTCTAAATCAGCTTCCCGCCCTCCATTCATTACTCTGTTTGGCGGCATTTGCCATCCATGACTTCCCCTTCCTGCTCATTCTCTCGATTTCCAAAACCTCCAAAACTTCAACACGGAACAAACATGATTACAAAGCATTCAGCTATACTGACCATCCTTTCCTTCCTTTGCTCTCAACCCTAAAACTCATCCAGCTCTCATCTTAGTAAAAGCGAAAAAAGTATTCACGCATTTCATCGAAGCGAAATCCTCAATCTCATGCCGGACTTCGCTTCAACGCCGACAGTGGAATTCTTCTAGCATTCATGCTCCTCAGACGATTTCCCAACCCTCTTATTGTCTGTCAACAATGTACCAGACTTGCAGATTCTCTCGCTAACTAACACCGATGCGTCGGTCTTTCCTTGATATGATCTGTGCACCCTCGTGACAACATGTGAAGAGGAGTACGAGAACCGCGTATGGCTTAGAGCTAACTTTCAGTGGATTGACGACGCAGTTCACCTAACACCAACCAAACATAGGATCACTTCATCAGCACGACTTAATTTGAGCTTCATTTGCTAAATAAAACCCGCCGAAATGAATCTCTACTTGAGCTCTTCATGGAATCTCAAGCGAGAAAAATCCTCGAAACTTTCCTTGCTTGGTCCCTTCTAGAAAGTTCCCGAAAATCCAGGAACTACTATTTTAGTGGCAATAAAGCACCGGAGGAGCTCTCACGTCTGTGACAAGCCCTCCCTGTGCGGATCATAGATCTTTTGCGACTATGTATCTTTTGTTCCAACTTGTGCTGCGCTTGGGAAACGCCTAGAGATCCATCTTGCGGACCTCGGTAAACGAGATCTGGAGATTCCTACCTGTGTGGGACTGATGTTTATAATTTAGGGTTAAACAAGTTTTAGGGTCTGGGACCATCGAGGGAAAATCGACATGCAGATTCTTTGAGAATTAGAATGGCCCACGCTCTGGTGGTCCCCACGCATTCTGAAGGCGGCAAGGGCCGTACATAAGCGATGCGGGACGAGAAGATCGAGCCAGAACAGTTGTCAAGAGCATGGGGAGAAACTACAAGATCCATCCAACGCATGCAATGCCAAGAGAGGTTCTTCCAGAGAGTTACTCACGCAGCTGTACCGGATTTCTTCTCTGTATCAGTGTAATGGTCGAGGTGGACCAGGATACCATCAAGAAAGACTCTGAATACCTCCAAAAACATGCAATTGTGGCCAAATTTGTGGGAGGTAAGCAATCTCCATCGATTATTTCAAGTTGGATCGACTCCATGCAAAAGCAGGTGGGGGATTGGGTGGGTGTAGGCCGCCACTTGGGTCGTGGCTTCTTTCAAATCATGTTACCAACCAGTAATCACTCAAAAGGTTCTCACATTGACATTGCACAAGTACCGGTGGGGGACTTGCTGTCTTGGACTCCTGGCTTTAATGCTGCATACCCCACAAGCTTGAGAGTCCCGACTTGGATTACCCTCAAGAACATACCACTGAGTTCCAGTTCCTGGGGATGGCTGCCTAGATGGCCACAATTTAAGAGAATTACTAGGGAGCAACAAATGTAATGCCTCTTTGATAAACCAAAGATTTTGTATCAAGCTCTCTTCAAAGGCAAGGTGGAAGACCTCCCTCTTTATCACAAATGTTGTGACAAGGAAGAAAGCCATCACATTGATTAATTATTGCAATCTCTTCATCTAATGTTGGTTTTGTCTATCAACTAGTTAGCTCATTAACGATTGTCGAGGGCTCCTTAGTTGAAAAGAAGATCCCTTCCTTGGTTATATAATCCCAAAGATAATATAACCAAGAAAAGGAGGGAGGAGAGAGCAGACTTCCAAACACATCCTATAATACATCACAATATAGCTTCTAGTTAGATAGTATATATAGAAGCAAGAGTGAAGCCTTTTTCAGTCTTGTCAACACCTTTTTAGTCCAAAGTCTTGTTTCAAGACTTTCTAGTATGCTTGACTTTAGCAATAGTAATTTTGGTTCAATATATTACCATCTTTGAGTGATTTTTTAGTCTTTTTAAGTAAAACAAGAGTATATTGAGATTCATGTCTTTGAGAGTTTAATAAGAGTTTTAATTCATTGTTCTTATTTTATTTTAGAAATGAGTGGATTACTCTACTTTTATTATTATATTTTTAAAGGTTGCAAACTATCCACCTTTAAACTAATTTGGAGTTTTTTAATATGGATTTTTTTATTGAAGAAAATATATTATCTTTTTTTGTAGAAATTTTTATTTGATATTAGAAATTATGGATTATCTTCTTCTAATTTAATTTTTTGAACTTATTTAAATTATCTATAGAAGGAAGAATTATGAATACTACTCTTAGTGGAGGAAAGAATAGATTTGCAACTATTGCAAATCTCCACAAGGTTATCAACACTCTTAAGGTAGAAATCTCACATATTTCCAACATTATTAACAGAAGGAGCCTCTTAAAGAGAATACTAGGTCCTTGATTGCAAGTAGTTTATAAGAAGGCACAATGTTGTCTCATATGAATTCAAATATAAAAATGCAACTCAAAGGCTAATTATATTTTATAGATTAATTCCTTTCTTGTACTAAGATGCATTCAATTTTTAACTTTAATCTCAAATCTAAACCTCTTTTTACTAAAATATCTATAATTTACTTATTACTAATTCAATTTAAGAAAAATTTAGCTCATTAAGCTTAATTCAAGTTACAAACTTTAAATTGTCAAAGTCAATAAATAAGTTTTAAAGGAAATGAGAGCCAAACCAAGGAAAAAGTTGGTCGCTTGTTGTAGTTGTAGCTTTTAAAACTTCCATTCACAAATTTTCTTAAATTTCTTTTATCACAATACCTTTTTTTCATGTGCAATGGCTTATTGAAAAGCTAAAAATATTATCTTCTATCTCTCTATATCTCACAAAAAAAAAAAAAAAATCCAATAAATAGCATAGAAAATTCCAAACTAGTCTTGAATTCCGCCACCTGAAAATTCTAGTGACCCTTCTTCTACAAATTTCTTTTGATCTCCTTCATTATAGTTCTATTTTTTACATGCTAAGGCATGTTGGAAAGCTAATAAAAAGATCTTGCATCTCTTAAAATCTCATAATAAAAAAAGAGAATCCAATAAATGGCATAAAAATCTCCATATCAATCTTGAATTCTGTAGCTTAAAAACTCTATCAATTTCTCTCCTACAAATTTGCTTGAATTTTCCTTGTCTTAGCTCCATTTCTTGTCTGCTAAGGCTTGTTGAAAAGCTAACAATAAGATCTAGCTTTTCTTCAAATTTCAACACAAAAGACAAAAATTTAATAAAAAACATAAGAAATCTCGAACCAATCTTAATACTTACTGCTTGAAAATTCCAACGACCTCACTTATATAAATCTATTTGGATCTCCCTCATCTCAACTTCATTTCTTGTATGCTAAGGCTTGTTGAAAAGCTAATAACAAGATCTAATTTCTTTATAAATCTTAATAAAAAAAGATAAAAATCAGAGAAATGGCCTAAAAAATCAAAACCTGCCTTGAATCTTATCATCCCTCTCAAAATTCCAAGCACATCTTTTTTTCTTTTTTTTCTCTTTTTCTTCAAAAAATCTCTTTTTGATGTCAAAACCCCTGCCTTAATCTTCTTTCAATATCCGCCTTGAACAACTATAGAGTTGGATATCTATTCTAAAAGACAATACCTTCAAAGCTTAAATAATCTATTCAAGCCAACAATTTCTTATTCAAAATTCCATTCAAATTTGTAAATATATTAGAATTATGTTCTTTCATTCTTATAAGTAAAATTAGTTATCCTCCAAATAACTTTGATGCACTTAAATTAAGTACATCAAGATAAGAAAAATTATAGAGGTACTATTCCTACATCTATGGAAGAAGTCAATAATGAAGTTCAAAGTCTACACTAAAACATTGTACAATTAAGAAAGCAAGTAAATTAAGTTCACAATTAAATTTGAAGAATCTTGCTACTATAAATATAAGAAAGGGAAGGATACATATGCCATAGAAATTTGATAAAACACAATTAAAGTTTTGAAGATTTTTACAATAAGTAAAGCTTTATCTAAGGTTGCATTTTTTTTAATACATTGTTGAATTTACTCAAATTCGATTTATAGAAGTACTTCTTTTTGAAAGTGTTCTTTCTTAATTTGCACCTTTGATGGAAAAAGATTCATAATTTTTTTATGATTTGAATTTATTCTTAGAAATATTTATAGTTACTTTTAGAGAAAGTAATTAAGAAAGGATAGCAGAGACCAAGCTTGTATCTATACAATAAGGATCAAGTTCAACCACTACATATATTATTGAATTCTAAAATCTTGCTTGTAATATAGATTGAAATGATAAAGTCCTAATCAATCAATTTTGATATCAATTGAAAGATAATGCTGAAGATTTTTTGTTGATGGTATTGAGAGTAAATCCATTGAAGCAATTTATTATTGAAGCCATTGCATGCAATCATTAATTCTTTGAGAGACAAGAAGAACAAAGATTTGATTAGAAAAGTACAAGTCAAGCAACGACAATATCTTTTAAGTTTTTGGAAGCTAATTCATCTAAGACAAACTCTATGCAAATTGATATGGTGTATTTTAAACTTCTTTTTGAGGAAGAAAATAATTGTCATTCTTAAGAAGGTTGTATCTATATTTTAGAGAATCCAAACATATTATTCAATATTGTCCAAACAAGCAACACAATTACAAAATGAGGAGCATAGTTGCCAAAAAAGATAATGTATCAAAAAACAAGTTTTTCTAGCTATAATAGGAATTATTGTTATATTACATGAATTTGCTTGAGAATGTATTGGACACTTAGCTATAGAATATAAAGTTATATTTTGTAAATATTCAAGAAACTCTTATAGGTTTCAACCATCTAAATACAAAGTAATTAGAATTTCAATGCAAAAAGCTTAAAACCAATATAAAGTGCTTGAAAATACTCTTTTTATAAACCTCCAATAAGTAAAAATTTAAATCAATTTATTACTTTCACCTCATTGCAACTTTCAATTTTTTTTTGTTTTATTTTATTTTGTTTGTTCAAATTCTAACCTTAGGCAACAAGCTTTAATAAGTTGTAATTCTTAATTTGACCATTTAATTGATATGATTCTTTTTCAATATTATTATTATTATAATTCTTCTATATGTTTAAGAAGTTTCAAATTAATCCAACTTATAGATTGTGAAGAAATGACGTAAATTCACTCTGGTGCTCCTTGGCAGCTATCTTAAAAGTTCTTAACAAACTTCAAATAGGGATTTATCCTTCTCTATGTACTAACATCTAATCAAAATTTGTATATAGCTTGATCTTTAAGTCTTCTAATATCCTATCAAATTTCACCTTACTTCAATTAATAGATCTCCAGATATTATAAAATCCTAACCAATCTTAAACTGCAAATTTTTGGTACCTCCTTACACCAATGATTGAATATCTCCAAATCACACCATTAGAATAATTCAAAATTTTATGTACACTTAAGACACTCAAACAAATACATATTAACAAATTTTAAATTATAGATTTTCTATCAATTACATAAATCAGCCAAGAGTGTTATTTCTAATTTTATTACATAAATTCAGAGTCATCAATATAAATCTTAATTTTGAACAATGATTACAAAGTTTTTTTAAAATCTAAGAAAATAAGCCTTATGCCTTTAAAACAACCTTATTGCTAGC